GCGACTTGCACTAAAAGATCACGTGATCAAATTGGCCATTGTGGCTGGCATTCTACAGGATTTTTGCTATGCGAGAAGTTAAAAAAGACGGCCATTTTCTGGTAGTTTTTTGTTGATAAAAGGAAAGTTGGCGCACTAAATAACGGATAAAAATCCCCTTTTCTTGCAAGAGATATATTCTTAGTAGATATCTAAAGTCGATTTTTGTTATCAACTCACCAATAAGAGAAAAAATTTAATATTTTTTGAGCTACGCTGTGAAGACCTACGAAGTGGTAAGTCTTGTTTTGCCGAGTTCATGACATCAAAACAACGACTTGTTGTCGAAACATTTCAAGTATTTTTTAACTTCATTCATGAAAAATGCATTTTTCTTTTAAGAAATATACTTTTAATAGATACCTTRAGTAGATTTTTCCTATTCATTCGTCAGATAGAGGAAAAATATGGTATGTGTTTAGGTCATGTAGCCGGCGAAACAAGACTAAAACTTCGTAGGTCTTCACATCGTAGCGCCAAGAATACAATATTTCTTTCTTCTTGCCGAGTCAATAGCAAAACTATACTTTACATACTTACAAAGAATATATTTCTTGCAAGAAAAAGGGGATTTTAGTGTTTTTTACAGCGCTAACTTACCTTTTATCACCAAAAAAACATCCCGAATCGCCGTCTTTATTTACATTCTCGCATAGCTACAATCCTGTAGAATGCCAGCCAYAATGGCCGATTTGATCACGTGACCTCTTAGTGCAAGTCGCCTATTGGCATTTGCACTTGGCTGAAAAACTACCATCTGTTGGATTATGACTGAACGCCTCTAAGTAAAAWTCCGTGCTAGAACGCAACGATAATGAGCTCCACAGGATTTTAGGCGAACAACGTGCCAAGGCGGACAATACCCACAAAGGTACTAAAATATATCAAATTTTTAAAATTTCTGGAGTAGTGTACAGGCCCGCAAATGATCCCAGGACTGCAAATGATCCCGGGACCGCAAATGATCCCGGACCACAAATTATCCCGATACTGGATCGCAAATGACCGCGCAATAATATACGGAATGGTTTGGAGTGGGGGAATCCTATAAATACTTTTACTTATGTATTTTCAACTAGACTCAAATCGTATTTAGAATAATATGAACTTCATTTTTAATTCTGATTATAACAGAAATAAAAATAGAGCAAATGTGTATACGGATACAGTATATGTCTTAAGTCAAAATCGAACTGTATATATCGTTGTTAACATTTGATCTATAAAACATTGGTTAAAATTCTCTCGTTAAAACTTGAAAAATGAAACATGTTTCGATTGTAAATTGAACGTATGTTTCAAGAAAAATCATTCAAAAAATTATTAGCAATTAACAAGTCAAGTGTCGGTGATCAAGTGTCAAAACAACAACAATTTGAAACGTGTTCTTTCAGGTGCAATCGCAGGGAGCCCGGCTTWATGAACCTCGTTGATMTAAGCGGGTTAATGGATAATTCACTTTGCTCTGCTTTCCATGGGTTTAATGTGTCGGTTTCATGTTAAAATAAGCTGTAAACCGATCTCTATTCGTGGGTTGCCTGTGGTTATCGATGTTACTAGAGAGTGCGTTACCATGTTGACACTGACAGTTCGTAGCACTGCAAGCATGTCAACAAAGGAAGCCTAAGCAATGAGATTTTTTATCATAGAATTGAAGAGATTTTAAACATGTTAAATGTATACAGATACATAATAATTTATCGCTTCGAAATATATTCACATATATACATCTGGAAAGTTGTGATACAGCTTACATACAACCCATATTTCATTATTATTATCTTCCCGTTTTTTAAAGAACAAAAGAACTGTAAATCGTATTATATTTTGAAACGCAACGTTTGTTACAATAATTATCCATGTTGAGGATTCCCCCACTCCAAACCATTCCGTATATTATTGCCCGATCATTTGCGATCCAGTATCGGGATCATTTGCGGTCCGGGATCATTTGCGGTCCGGGATCATTTGCGGTCCTATTCGGGGATCATTTGCGGTCCCGGGATCATTTGTAGTCCTGGGATCATTTGCGGGCCTGTACAGTAGCTTTGTTGTTACGATCTTCTGAGGTTAAGTTTTGTTTTTCAATCAACAAAAACATAGTCCTCCCTGAGAACACTTGGCATTTCTGGGCCTACCTTCGTCCTCTCGGGCKTCGTGAACCAGGCCCGCAGGATCTCTTGTTCTCTTGGACGAGAACTTCTTTACCTTTTTATCACTACGTCAATTCCCAACATACACTCATGTCATTCAGGGTTAGGGTTTAAAGGGGGCAATACTATAACCGTGCTGAAAATGAAAGCAAATGATCGGAATTCGGATGTTGCACACCGATAACGCTATTTGACACAGAACATTGGAGTCATTGGGCAATGTTTTACATCATTCCCCCTTTTAACCCTAACCCTAACTCTTGTTCAGCAATAAAGACTTTTTTTGAATTACTTTATTCATTTAGATTTAGATAGATTTAGATAGATTTCTACTGAAGATTTTATCGCAGCCCATGGGATGAGTGATATATTTACTGTGTACAAAACAAACAAAAATAATAATAATTATAACGATAATCATAACCATTAAAAAACAAAATTAATCATGATAATAATATAGTAGCAACATAAAACTGTAGCAATAATAATTCTAACAAATATTTATGTATATTTTTTATATTTGTTGATTGTACACTTTGTTTCACTCTCCGGAATACTTGGTTATT